TGGGGCGGCTGGGAGCCTCTGCCGGGGCGATTCCGCGGGGGTTTGAGCGAGCCCCGAGCCGAGGGGCTGCCGCCGGGGCTGCGTGTGTCTGTCCGCCCGGCACTTGGGGCGATTGCGAGCTCGGCACTGCCGGGGCTGCCGTTCCCGTTAATTCTTCTCAGGTGTTCTTTCCAGTTTTGCTCCTAGCTGGAGCCTTAGACCTTTTTACTCGTCGAGTAAGGAAAGGTTTATTTGTTTTAAACGATGTTATCTCTTCTCGGTTGTCTTCAATAGAAGCGGCCGTGCTGTTACAGGTCTCCTTCTGCAGCATTCATGAATCCCCTTTGCCATCATAAGACATGTGCATCTTGAGTAATCCGTGAGATGTATGAGGCGAATGAATGCTCTCTGACAGGGACTCGCCGAGCACAGGCACCTGCGAGCATCCTTTCCTCATACAAGTCTGTGTCCTGATCACTTTGTTTGCTGCACCCACAAAGGTGTATTTCTTTAGCTGCGCAGGGTAGCAATGATGAAAAATACCTGATGTAAGAAGTGGTACGACTCGTGACAGCAAGCTGCTTGTGTGCATCAAGTGGTGCTGGGTGCTAATCTCAGTGGACCGACCAAATGTACGTGCCTGCCTTGAATGCTTTTTGTTTGATGATCCTTGGTGGACTTGCTAAGTGCATTAGTCTTTTGAGGCTTAGAGTTTTCTAGCCCCCGGGAGCAGCACATTCTGTGAACACCTCTGTCTAACGTGGAGTTTGATTTCAAAGGGAAGCCCATGATGTGGAACTGGCGTTGTGATGATGGAAACTTACTATATATTTTCCTTAAAGTAAGAAGAAACCTTATAGCAGTTTTAAAAATAAAATACAAGTTTTTTGCAGGAATAAAATGCTTGCATTATCACTCAATATAGCCATTTAGTCCCTCTCTACAACAGTAGCAATTTGTTTTAATTTTCTATTTTTATTTCTCTCTTTGTAATTATTTTCTCTTGAGTCAGTTCGTTTTCTTTCCTGTCACTGTAGATGTTGGTCCCTGATCCAGTTCTTAACAGCATTTGTAGCTACAGTTCAGTTTATGCCCTCATCTCAAGAAAAAGGAAAAAAACCTCAATCTTATAGGCAGCGCCCCTATTAATTTCACAACTTCGAATCTAAGATTTTCTTTTCTGTTTATTGTTTGTTTGTGTTCTCTTTCAAATGTTATTAAAACTTGGCCCGTTTCAGGCAGGTCTTGATTGAGAAAGTGATAGAGAAATAGACTGGCTCCCTTTAATGATCATTTTGATTACTGCCATTGTGTTCTCCAGTCACAGTGTGATGTGAGTTCTAAGTCTCTCCATCTCGTTTCCCCTTCTCCCCTTGTATTATTTCTCTTCACCTAAATATTTAGCTGACAAGCCCTTTTTTCACATAAGTCAATTTTGGTTAAATATGGTGCTAAAATACACAGAATTGCTATGATGTTTTTCTTTCCCTAAGAAAAACAAGAAAGCAATCAGGATGTATATAAGGAAAGGTTTAATAGACAGTGGAGAACTAGAGATTTCTTTTGGAAAAGAACCCTTACCAATCTTTATTGAATTTGCTTGTCTGCATGAAGAAAAGAACTGTTGTTTTGTTATCTAGCAGCTGTAGGAAGATTGACAGCTACAAATTGCAAATCTATGAAGGATCTGCCCATGACACAATTTTTAGTTCATTTAGATCGTTATCCTACACATCTTGTCATTTGCAAAATTATATAAACAAGACCAGTAAGTTTGTTGAGAAGATGTAAATGCAGTGAATATACTGTAAAGATTTTGAAGCTCTTTGGGATAATTAGCAGAGGCTTGCCTGAAATATGACATTACTACAGTTAATTTAATTCAAATAGGAACACACCATTGAAAACATTATATTGTTGAGAAGAATTACATATTTTAAAACATGCTAGCTCTGTCAGAAAAACATTAAGTGTAGTAGTCTTTTTGTTAAGATAAAGAGAACATCACTGATGTTGTGGTGTGCTTTGCATTTCTAAACAGAATCTAATGAATTACAAACATTCATTATGCTACAAGCAATTGCTGAAACTTCTCAGGACCCCAAAATAGAGATTTATTTATACGCTCATATTTGCATGTTTTCTGATTATGGTGTCATTGTAAAAATAGAAATAAATAAAAAAAAGCTATTGTTCTAAAATGAGTTCTCTCCTAGCTCCAGATCTTTGGTTGGTGTATATCTGTTTGGAAATTTATGTTTAAATACCTCAGTGTGTTCAGGTTATGGAGCTTTCTATTGGAAAGTGTGGGGAAGCTACAGAAGGGGTCTGGGAGCATTCTTTGTTGGATCCTGGAGTAGTTAAGGGTATATAATCTGCAGCAGAAGGTCAGGTTTACCAAATGTCTGAGAAAGAAGGTAGCTGAAATTTTCAAAGGTCAAAAAGAGCAATGTGCTAATTTTAAAGGACCTCTTGCATAAATATTGCTTTTCTTAACATGTTAAAATGTGGAAAAAAATATTTATTGGTCTGTTTTTTTATATAAATGTTTAACTACTCAGTCGTTCTTAAGCATAGTATTTGTAACACAGTTACGTTTTTCTAATGCTGCTTCCTTGTCTGTGGACTCAAGAATGAACCATTGGAAAGGGTCAGTATTTATAGGCCCAAACCAATTTACAGCTTTTGAATGCCTCACTTCATGGCTATACTTGGCACTGTGCACTGTGGACTGTTGGACTGTCACTTCCCAAAAATGGAAATGTGGGTCTTTGGAGCTCAGTTTCATCCCACCTCCTCCTGGAACCCAGGAGAGCACAGCAGAGGTGGTGGTCACAGCCAGGGATGGA